GAGGATGGATGGTGATAAGATTTGTATGAGCCCCCAATAAAATGATTAAAAAAGAAAGCAGAAAAAGAAGAGTCCCAGTCTCAGAAACTCACCCTGTCCTAGGGTTACTATGAGGGGACATCGACTCAATGGCAATGAGTTTGGGTTTTGATTTGTTGTCTTTATAATGATGCTAGTGATATTTTCCAAATATTTTCAAAAAGTAAGCACATTTGTAGTTTGAACTTATCTTTGGTTTTTAAAAAAATTAAAACATAGAGAAAGTTCTAGAAGAATACATGTCCAGGAAAGAATCATGGTTAGATCTCTTAGTATTGGATGTCTGAAAATTTCACAACTTCTCCTAGCTTCTTTTTATTTTTTAAATTTCTCTAAATGTTTGGAAACTTTTAAAATTCAAGAACTTTAAGAAATTCAGAAAGATATTATAATAGATTTTTGGGGTTTGTTTTTCATGCTAGTGTTATAACTCTTTATAAGGAACATGTATTACTTGTTAAACAAGGGGGATAATAGAAACACAGTAAACTATTGAATGAAGCTAGCTGTTCGCTGCAACCAAGAATCCTTACATAATTAGAGAAAAACCTTAAGACACCCTTCCTGGTCAACTATAGACCCAAATGGACCAGGAAAGCCCAAATGCATGATGGGATAATCATCCTCAACTGTGAAAGGATCCGCAAATGCCAACTCTGGTACCACCAGAGCACACGCAAAAAGGGTCCTCTAATATGTTCCCTATTTGTTTTCTTTTAAGATCATCACCTTGCTTCATGCAAGTGAAACCTGACTTCTGATCATAATTACTCATCCAACTGAGGGGAGAGGGAAACCGAAGAGGGAATGAAAAGGACAAGGGTCCCACTCGGTACCATTCAAATATGTCCTGAGGCAATCTGAAATTTCACTTGGGAGTTTAAGGAGAATACAAGTTCCTCCCTTTTCCTTTCAACAATAAAGACAAAAGTGTTTCTGCATCTCTACATGTGGTTTCTATCAGGTAGGATTCTGTGGGACTCTGTAAGCCAGACAAAAAGATAGGACTGGCATCCTCATGACCAGTGGACCAGGTACTCATTAATTATGCACTGGCTTGGCAGAAATGCTTCCATCGGAATATTGATGGCATTGAAATGGGGACATTAATTTGAAGACGTGACAATGATCAAAGCTTTCACCTGCAGACTCCAGATCTCATCTTTCTCTACAGCATAAATTGGTTGCTTCTGGAGCAGTGGGTTCCCTTCACAGTAGAATTCTCTGAGCTTCAATTTCTGAAACTTTTAAAATAAAAGAAAAGCTTTATTTCCTGGCAAAATAACAAACTTAAATTAAATTAAACTTGCTTTACTTACTGCTTCCATTCCACCTCAATACTCTAATAGTGAGGCATACTGTAAGGTTAGATGCTTAAGGTTCTTAGTGCTGGCAAGAACAGCAATGGCATCCCAAACATTTGAAGCTAAGAAAACTAGTTCAGGGTCATTGAACTAGTTAATAAAATGACAAGCGTTTAGTAAACAAATGCAGGTGATCTTTTTTGACCTTGTATACTTATTGGAAAACCAAGTATGATGATCAGGCATGAAAGAACCTTAAATACTTCTTTCTTTTTTTAAAACAGTTTCATTGGCCCGTAATCTGTATATCATGCAATTCAATAATTCAACCATATCAAGAAGAGTTCTTTAATCATTAACACAATCAATTTTACAACATTTTTTTCTTTCTTGTATTCAGTTATTAGCTCCCCATTTCCCCCAACTTCCCCGCAATACCCACCAGAAACTGATAATCCAGTTACGGTCTCTATAGATTTCCTATCCTGGATTTCATATACTGAAAACAGTTTTAAAAAATAAATAAAATCATAACAAAATAAAACAGAGGAAAACCTCAATTGAAAAGAAATTAGAAAAATATTAAAATCTAAAACAACTTCAAAATGGGTCAAAAGGGAAATCAAATGATAAGGTGTTAAACTTTAACCTAATTATATCTGTCATAATCCACTTTCCTATGCACTCTGCATATGATAGCAAGGCTAGTCACATCTCTCATCTCTAGTCAGATGGGATTCACCAAAGGCTTAATCCATGTTTATTTCCTTTTAACTTTTTCTTT